GACTTTAGGGCGGACCCAGCCAGCTTAAAACCCTGCTGAGGCTCGGTGGCCCACGCTGTGGTGGCTGTTACACGTGGAGGCATGGAGGAGTGCGCTTGCTTCTGCGGCTTGGGCTCTTCACGGGGATGTCGGTGTCCTCAAGAGTGCCAGGGCCCAGCTGCGACAGCGGTGCCCTCAGAAGCGCCAGCGCCCAGCTGAGACAGCAGTGGCAGAAGGCAAGCGGTGTCGTCAGGAGTGCCAGGGCCCAGCTGAGAAGGCAGCAGCCGAAGGCAAGCCGGCCCCGGCAGAAAAGCACCTCGAGGCGGACGGGGAGTGGAGGAATGGCTAGCCGCATGTCGCCCCCGCACTGCTCGCTTGCAGGACCTGCTGGTGGAGATGCTGGTGGAGATCTTCGCCTTGCTCCCCGGCACCGACCTGGCCAGCCTGGCCCAGGCCTGCACCAAATTCCATCACATCCTGCACACTGACAGCATCTGGAGAAGGCGCTGCCACGAGGAGTTTGGCGTTTGTGAAAACTTGCCAAACTGGAAGAGGAGGGGTATGTCTTATCGAGAACTCTATGCGAAGATGTTCCCATACAGACACATTTTGGGATTGTGGCAGCTAACACTGCTGAATGTCGTGCTGGATGGCTTATGCATTACTGGTTGGACGTGCAGGCCTTCCAATAACACCCATGTGCATGGCCCAATGCAATCTGAGCCCTCCTTTAGAATTCGCCTGACGGGGAGGAAATCACCCACCGTGGAGTACATGGGCGATGTCTACAGCTTTACCCACAGCCGCCACATGCAGATTCGGAAGGACAGGTTCAGCATCCAGTGGATCAAGAGAGACCACCGAAAGGATTCACCAACGCGGCTCAGGGGAGAACGGGGGCTGGTGCTGTTGGAGGAGGACAAAACGCTGTCTGACTGCCTGACCCACCGCCGCTTGGTGATGTCGCAGGAGGACAGCCAGCGGTATGACTACTGCCTGACCTACCGCCGCGTCTACCTTCCGCCGAGCCACCCGGACGACCTCATCAGGCCAGGCCTCTTCCACGGCATATTTCATCGCTTCGGCCCTATGATTGCCATGCTCAGCTTCCATGGGAAGTATGCCAGGGTCACGAAGATCACAGGAGAGTCCGTCGAGACGTTAAAGATCCACCTCATGCGCCGCATCCAGCTGCCAGATGGCGAGTTCTTCTGCAACTTCAACGAGCTCTCCCGCGTGGTCCAGGAGATTGATGAGCAGGTGTTCCGGGAGCAGCAGCAAGAAAACGGGACTGAGGAAAGCGAGGGCCATGGCTGGCAGAGCCCTGCCCCGCCCAGCGTCGGGGAGTCCGGGGCTGCAGCTGCGGAGGAGCAGCCTGTTCCGTTTGTTCTGCCTGTGGGCGTGCGCTCAAGACTCCACAACTACCCCCGAACCTGCAGGATGTGTTTCTATGGCGTTTACAGTGTTACTATCCATCCCATCGCCTACTCCAGGCACTTCCCTGGAGTCGTCATCCTGTTCGATGAGAACCACTTGGGGTTCATCGATCTAGAGGATAAATACTTCATCCGGTTCCGCAGAGTCCAGAACACCTTCCAGCATGTGGAGGCACCATCCCCACAGGCCTTCCTGGAGATGCTCTGGACCATTCAGTCTGGACCCCTTGTGTGCATGCAGCTTGCATCCACTTTGAAGATTTGACCTTCTGACCAGCTTACCCACCTTTGTTTGTTTTTTTAATCCTCACCCGAGGATATTTCCCCATTGATGTTTAGAGAGAGTGGGGGAGAGAGGGAAAGACAGAAATAATCCATGTGAGAGAAACACATCAGTTGTTTGCCTCCTGCCCAAGCCCGGACCAGGGCCAGGCTGGGTAGGAGCCAGCTATTGAGGTAGAAATAAACCTTAGACCAGTGGTCTCAGCCTTCCTAATGCTGCAACCCTTTAATACAGTTCCTCACGTTGTGGTGACCCCCAATTTCATTGTTACAAATTGAACATAATTAAAGCATAGTGATTAATCATAAAAAAAAGGTTTATATATGAAAGATTATTAACTGTGTGGAAGGGACAAAATGAAAATTGTAGATAAGTGATAATTTTTGACATATGACCAAAAACATTAAGACTTAAAGAAAAATTCAGAAAACAAAGCAATCCATTTGTCAACAGAAATATCTTCAGTCATTCTGAAGTAATGTGTTTTCTGTATTGGAAATATCTAAAAGCTATATTATTAAAGAATTGTCCAAAAAATGTGTCTCAAGTTCCTTAAAATTGTCAGTGGCTCAGTATTATTATGGGCTGTAAAAGAAACAAAGAGGTCCCAAGTTAAAAACCAATCAAATGATTACGAGAGAAAAATATTAAAACATTTTAAAAATTGAAACATTTAAAACTGAAGAAAGTAGCTCACTCTGACAGTCTGATTAAAAACCCGGCGCCGGGGGGCAGGGGGGGGGGGCGGCGGAATTAAACACTGCTGCAACTATTTATCTTTAGCAATACAGCAGAAATAGATAAAGTAATTTTTGAACAGAATAATAGCAAAAAGTTCATTCAGAAGATATAAATTGTACCGTAGCATTTTCAAGTAAGTTATCAACCCTCAGAAAGGAAAGTTATAACTCTACCAAGAAAGGTAGAGAATTATCAGAGTAAGACAACATGCTGAAAGAGATAAGAGATGGAAAATATAATTGAGTCTATATTGCTCATTGCTGAATATACTCAAGAGAAGGTAATGATTACACAGTTGAAAAATGTATGGGCCTGGGGAACTTCGTTTTCTGTAGAAATGACAATTTCATTCTGATAAAAGAATTATAATACAAAAAATCACTTTAAAAATTAAGGTAATTATAAGTTAAAGGAAATAATGTTTTTTAAATGTAAACAGTAAATTCTTGGACAGGACAACACATCAGGTGATTTTTTAAGAATCTGGGAGCCCCTTTGATGTCCAAGGGAATTATGGGGATTAGTTCTGTGGCATTACCATTCAAATACATTTTATAGCAGAATCAGATACTGAGAAGTAGAATGTAATGGGTTAAAAAACAAGAAAAAAAAAGAGAAGGAGTGCATTTATTCATTCATTTATTTTATCACTCATTTAGTGAATATTTATGGAGTGCCTGCAATATGCCAGTCAGTGTTTATAATGCTGGTGAGACAATAATAAGTGAAGCTGTCAACATCCTGTCAAAATTTTAAATTATAATGATAGCAACAAAGATGTGGCAACATATAAATTAATTTATAAGATTAGATAGTGAAAGGAATTCTAGGGACAAAACAGGCAGGTTTAGGGAGTCTTAGAGATAAGGAGGGTCCATGAGAGAGGAATGCATAGATGGAGACTGGAAGACACCAGGGTGCTTATCTTCCTTATACAGAGGATAGAGAAATGCCACAGGAAGAGGGGGTCCAGGCAGATGGAAACATTTCTGGCCTGAGGAATAAAACAGCCATAAACCTAGGACAGACAGGGGTATCTCCGGCCTGAGCAGTTAAAGTGACCATAAGTTAGACCAAAAGTAGCCCTGACCTGAGCAGCTGGGAAAGCTGTAAGATAAGGCTTTCTATGCCAGCACAACTGGGAGAAAACCATAAGATAAATCAGAAGTGAGTCCAACCAGCAAGATAAGAGGGAGAGAAATTGGGGGGCACCATGTGGACTTTGAGCTTTGAAACTAATACCATGTAGCAGAATGACCAATGAGGAAAATATGAGGGTCCCAAATTAAGGAAAGGGACCAGTAAGTAAGGGTCCGGTTCAAACAAAGAACTGCAGCATACATAAACTGGAGACAAAGGGACACGAGGCAGGATTTTTTAATTTGAGAGAGAGAGAGAGAGAGAGAGAGAGAGAGAGAGAGAGAGAAAGGCTTTTCTCCCATTGGGGACACCCCTGCCCCGATGGAGTTTGTATCTGCTTCCAATAAACTTCTACGTTTTGTATTAAAGAAGCCTTTTTGTCTACGAGTTTATTCTTCAAACTTCATGAGGACAAGAACCCACAGGAAGAAAAGTCTACACCCCGAACCCCACGTTTCAATAGTAATTAGTGCCATGAAAAATGTATAATGCCACCACCCACACTACTGGTGCAAATCCAGGATGTAGAGAGTATTCCAGAAAAAGCAGGCCCCATGCAAATTATCCACATGAATGTTGCTCAGTAGGAAAGGCAGCTAGTTTCTGTGGTAGCTTCTGAGCGCTCCCTGGGGCACATCCTGCAGCCCTGGGCCCGCAGGGCTGACTCACCTATCTCCCAGCAGGCGGGAGAGGCAGCGTCTGACTTGTCACAGTGTGTTCCTGCCAAGGTTCCGTGCCCTCTCAGCAGGCCCAATGAAGGGCTGAGGCGGGAAAGAAATGCAGTCGTCCCCCCCACCACCCCGGATCTATGGTTTTGCTTTGCTTAGTTTCAGTTACCCATGGTTAACTGCAGCTCAAAAACATGAAATGGAAAATTTCAGAAGTAAATAATTCATGCTTTAAGTTGCACACTGCTCTGAGTAGCGTGGTGAGATCTTGTGCCAACTGTCTCACTTCGTCTTTCCTGGGACGTGAATCATCCCTTTGTGCAGCGTATCTGCACTGCAGACATTCCGGCCTGTTAGTCGTTTAGTAGCTGCCTTGGTTATCAGATCAAAGGTCACAGTACTAAGGTGCTTGTGTTCAAGTAACCTCAAGTGCAAGAGTAGTGATAATGGTGATTAGGATATGGCAAAGAGACACCGAAAAGTATTAATTTCAAGTGAAAAGGTATGTATCGGAAAAAAACATAGTATAGGGTTTGGTATTATCCATGGTTTCAGACATCCCTGGGTAGTCTTGAAACATTACTCCATGGATGAGGGGGGACTATTGCATATAGGTCCAGCCCTTCCATCCATTTGAGACAATTCTAAAGATCGTCACAGCTCCAGAACTCCAAGTGGGGTCAGCTGAGACCTCAGTTGCACCTGCAGTGTGGGTCAGCCTCCTCCTCTGCCAGCCACCCATGTATGTGAAACCTGAAAATAATATCCATTGAAAACTTCCTATGAGAAACTTGAGCTTATGTTTGTGAAAAAAAATACTTTAAAAATTAGGTTTTATGCTTGAAAGGGGTCCTTGTCAAGACTTTTTAATGATGATTATTTTCAATTCTTGATAGTCACCATTGAAGAAATTCTTTGTTCACACATACGAAAAATTACTTTATATGAAAAATGATATATGAAAATTACTTTACCACATTTTAACACTATTTCAGAACTTGGGACTATTGAAATTGTATTTAAGGATCTTACATATATTCTTTCTTTCATTGATAATCTAATGTTACAAATTCTTGTGGTAATTGTTAATAGATTTCAAATCCATTTAAACTTTTTCAAATCAGGAATTTCAAAATAATAGTGAATCTCTCATTTGTAGAGTACATGTACGTTGCTTGGGCTGTGACCCAGCCACTAGCTTTCAGACACCTCTAAAAGCATACCTGGATTGCAAAATGAACAGAACCCCCAGAGGTCTGTGAGGACATTATTAGATCTTACCTGATACCGTGGTCTGTGTACCATGCTCTTTGGGCACCTGACACACATGTAGTATGGTAGAGAATTTCCTTCCTTACTGTGGAGCAGTAAGTTCTGGATGTTTCATGTGTTCACTGTTCGGGGGAACTTTGGGCATACTGTCAGGCTTGCTCTGCTTTGGCCATTGTCTGTAGATCTCAGGAAGAAAGGCCCAGATTTCTGGAGATCATTCCAGGCCCTGCCGGACCACCCTAAGGACTAAAAAGATCTGTACTTCATGGCACACCTACCACCCTTTTGTGACAGTCCATGGTGTGCTGCATACAAATTGGGTAGCTCAGGACTATACTCCTACAAGTACACTCTCCCATGACCAATACAGGAGCTCAGAGGAATATGCAGTATAATTGAGATAAAAGAACAAATTTATACTCTTTGCAATCCGTGACATTTACAAACCCAACAGGAATGCATTTTGCAAGCTGGAAAACAGATAGACCTGTGGTAACTTACTGAGCAGATCTGAGATGAAAGAACTTTGGTGATTTAAATCAGAGAGTCATTAAAAGAATTAGGAATAGGTTACCTTGTGTCTCTGGAGCTAGGAGTGAAGGGGGAGAAGCTAAAATGAGGGGAAACTGTAAAGTAGTTGGATCTCTAATAGTGGACTGAAGACAAAGGATTTGTTTTTTGGAAAAGGTAAGCCTGCGGGTATTTCCAATGGGGATCAACTGGCACACATGATAATGTTTTTATCACACATAAAGGGGGATACATTGACCATATGCAAGTTGTAGGCTGGAGTACACCCAGGCTTTTTTTCCCACTGCACTCCCAGGACTCCACCTATCAGGCAGGAGACTGGAAGAGAACATGCTGGGGGATCTGACCAGGTCAAACAGAAAGTACTAAAGATACTCACACTTGCGGTTCATCTACCCAGTCAGGTTGTAGAGTTCAAAAACCGCCCCCCCACACGCTCAGTGTTTCTACTCAAACTTTTAGACCATCTCCTTTCATCATCTCTTTTGTCTCTAAACTGATCAATTTTTTATTCCTATCCCAGGCACTTTCTTTCAGCCTAGAGCCCTGTTAGGAAGAAAACTCTTTTTTTTTTTTAAATACATTTTATTGATTTTTTACAGAGAGGAAGGGAGAGGGATAGAGAGTTAGAAACATCAATGAGAGAGAAACATCGATCAGCTGCCTCCTGCACACCTCCTACTGGGGATGTGCCCGCAACCAAGGTACATGCCCTTGACTGGAATTGAACCTGGGACCTTTTAGTCCGCAGGCCGACGCTCTTTCCACTGAGCCAAACCAATTAGGGCGGAAGAAAACTCTTGATGTTCAATTTTGAAAGTTCATGAGACTAGACTGCTCCTGCAGGATTTCTTACTGTAGTTCCCAGAAATTAGAGAGGGCATAAGCCCTCCTAAATTAAGCTTTTGTTCTCATATTTGCCTGCTGAGCTTCCCAGTGAATAGCTATTGGCCATTTTGGGGAGTTCTTAGGTAAGTCAGAGTTCTTGGCTTTCTAACCTTGAAATGCTTTTAAAGGTCTATCCTGAGATTCCTTATGAAAAGCTATAGCAAAGTAAACTCAAAAGGGCCTATGTGGCCAGACACTTTTCTTGCTGCACTTACATAAATAATCAGGACAAATATGATGAGAGTAGATTTATATTGTCAACAAGGATAAAAATGGGGTGAAAATTTGTGTTTTAATGAGAAAATTATAGTGCACATTTGTGGGTTCTCAATTAATCTACCGTTCTCTGATGTCTGGCTATGACTCTTCAAACTAAAGTTTCTAATTCTCCCACCATCATGACTAGACATCACTGAGACCAAAATCTGCCCTTTCCTTCTCTTTTCCTGAAGCCTTGGAAGCTGAAGCTGGAGGACTTGATAAAAACTTCAAAGAAATCACACAGATCACAAATGTACGACTTTCATGCCTGCTGCTAGATGGGCAACTTGGAAAGTTCACTGGACCACCCAATGCCATCGCCAGTGACATCCAAACGGTAAACCAGGAAATCTGCTAGTATGTCACTGCCATCTTGAGCCCAGCATCTAGAAATCTCCGCTGGCTACACTCTGGACTCAGAAACTGGGTTTCCAACTATTAATCTTTGCTTTGATTTTATTTTCAAAGAAATTGTCGTCATTAAAGATCTGACTACTAGAACCATCCAGAAAGCCAATAAAACATGGTGAGATGATAATGATATTGAGGGAGACCTTGGTGATAGAATTCTATGATTAATTTAACTATAACATAGAAGCTAGTTTATGGATGGGTGGCAGAGAGACACTTGATTACAAATAACTTAAATGATGGTTTGCCAGTATCCAAAGTCTATGCAGAGAATGTCAATGATCCAATTAAGAAAGTATGTAGAGAATGTTGGAATCATGTGAAAGTTTATAATGTCTCTGGTATATGGATGGATGCCAGTGGAATCTGACCCAGCAGGAATCAAGACTAGGATTCAAGGAAATGATGCTGTAAGAAGATGAAAATGAAAAAGTAAAAGCCCCAATTAGGCACTCTCATTTACAATAGAGACTTAGAATAATTCCCAAATTATCTGAAAACAGGGACTCTACATTTCAGGAAGGGAAATATCCATACCATTTTACACTATATATCCTAGATTAGCAGTACCCATTTAGCTTCCTCAGATTATTCTTTTATCAATTCATATAAATGAAAGCAGAGAAGACTCGGATTCTGTTTTCCAAATTGTGTAACTCTCTTCCCTGAAGCTTGTTTCTGAGAAATGCCATGAACCTCCCATAATAAAATCTATCATGAATTAAGTTAAAAGGAAAACCTCCATTAATATTGTTGCTTTAGCACTTCCAAGGGATTTCAGATTATTTAATGCAGGAGGCACATCATGGGATATCTTATTTGTGAATTTGGGGTTTCCTTGGATGAAGTTTTTCTTAAAAAACAAAATCTTCTTTTGGTGAGGCCTCTTCAGGTTTTTATCAGCATTTCTAATGCATATGTTCTATCTCTTTTAACTACTTCTATCTCCATTGGTAGCAGCTAGAAACTTACAGATCGAAAATATGGCAAAAGAGAGAGGAAACTTTTATTGTTAATGTTGCTTATATTGCACATAATATATAACCTTTGTAAAATATAGAAAATAAACCAAAGAAGAAAAAAATCACCTATACTCAAAACACTCAGAAAAAGAATTAATATCGTTTTGGTATAAAACCTTCATACTTGTTTTTTTATTACAGTTTGCCTTCAATACTATTTTGTCTTAGTTTCATGTTTACAGCACAGTGGGTAGACATTTATATTGGTTACAAAGTTATTCCTCCAATAATTCAAGTGTCTGCCTGTCACTGTAGATAGTTATTACAATATTGTTGATTATATTCCCTATGCTTTACCTTACATCCCTGTGACTGTTTTGTAGCCTTCATACTTCTTATGCATCCATAACTACAGGATATATGCATATGTTAATTGGAAATTGGAACAAAGTCTGCTTTCAGATAACTATCATTTTATTGTTAAAAAGTCATTGTATTCTATCATGAATACAATTCCATTCCTTTTTAACATATATTTAAGTTTTTATTCTCAATGCCACATAGAATTTTAATATGTGGGTTTGTCAGTTTTTACTCAAGTACTTATTAATGGTCATTAGGGTTGTTGCTAATTTTTCACTAGTGGAATAATTTTACAGTGATTATTATCCTGAATATATCTTTACAAACATGTACAATTAGTTCCTTATGGCATAGCATTAGAAGTAGAATTTCACTATCAAATAACATGAAAACATCTAACCTTTTGTTGTTTATGCTGCTAAATTGCCCACTAGAAACTGTACCAACTTAAATTCCAAAGAATGTTGGGGAAAAAGAAACAAGACAGCTTATAGAACTAGGGCAAGAAAAGAGGTCTAAAAATATCCATTCTCAAAACCTTGTGTATTTTGATGTGTACAATGCTTTGAACCAATTCTCTTTCACTCTGTTATTTCAGAGAACCTGCCCTCTGTTCTTCTACATTTATCATAACAAACACTATATGCAAATACCTTTCTTATTTAAAAAGTAAAGGAGAGAATCACAAAAACTACTTTTCAATTGTTGCTCAGAAGAAAAAATTAAATTATAAAACCCCTTAGAAATTTATGAAAGTAAGGATACTTCAAATAAAAGATATAAAATGTAACTAAAGCCACAGTTGATTTTAAAATATGTAAAAACATTTAACTTCAGGAGTTAGAAAAAAAAATCCCAATGAAATATAGACAATGACTGTTTTGCTCATAAATTTATACTCAAAGCCGACTGAGAGTAAGAATTCAGTTGTTCAATCTATCTATATAAAACCCTAATATGCAAATAGACAAATGGCAGAACAACTGAACAACCGGTCGCTATGACATGTGCTGACCACCAGGGAGCGCGCACAGAACATGGCAGGCATCGGCAGCAGATGGCAGAGCACGGAACATGGCAGGCGTTGGCCACTGCAGGATGGTGGAGCAGTTGAGCGGGAGCACCAGACCAAGGCGGAGCACCAGTTGCTGTCATCGGGCGAGCCTCTAGTGGTTACTGAAAATTCTTTGCTCCTGTGTGCCGCAGTTCTGCCCAGTGTTTGCACCTGCTGCCGCTGGCCCTGCTTGCACCCCCTGCTGGCACCAGAGCTGCTGCTCACACCCGCTGCCAGCACTGGCCTCAATCACTTGGTGCCATCAGCGGGTGTGAGTGGCGGCTGCCAGCCCCGATTGCCCCTCAGGGCTTCTCTACCTCCCCCTACCCCTGAAGGGTCAGCAGCCACCTCTCGCACCTGCTGCCGGCGCCGGCCCTGTTTGCACCCGCTGCCAGTGCCGGCCCCAATTGCTCTCTGCGCTGTCAGCAGGTATGAGCAGGGCTGGCGCCATCAGTGCGTGGCAGCGGTGGTGGTGGGAGGGGGGCTGCCAGCAGACAGGGGACCGGGGGCTGTGGCAGGAGGGGGCAAGCGGGGGCGCAGAGGATGGACTGAGACCCGCCCCTGTGCCCACCCAGCCTCATGGCCCACAGTTCCTTTCAAGGTGCACAAATTCGTGCACTGGGCCTCTAGTAAATATATAAATAAGAAATTGTGAATAAGGATGTGCAAGTTGAGTATTTAATAAAGATAAAAGATGAAATTTATGTGGCATAAAAATGAACTAAAATAACAAAATCTAAAGGTTTCTTTTCCCACTAGTATTTAAAAAAAGCTGTTGGATAATTTTTTTTTATGAGAAATTAGACAGCCAACATTTATTTATCTTTGCTTGTTTCTGTGTTTTTTTTCTGTATTGCAGAAAACAAAGGTCATTCTAACAGATATGAAATCTAGCATCAAGAACTGGAAGAATCTGAAATTTTACCCTACTTGCAAGTTAACAGATTCATCTGTCACTGTTTTATGAAAGCTGGTAGAAGATGTGAAACTTCTGGGTCAGAGATAAAGAACTTTATTTTATTCAGGGCATCAGAAGACAGAGAATCAGCATTTGCATTGGTTCTGCAAGATACAAATCCCACAGAGATTTGTAAAGGAGAGTTGGGTGATACCTGCACGCAGTGGGGTGGGTACAGAAGAGGAATTCTAAGTTTAGGGCACCTGAATCTAGAGAGTTGGGTGATACCTGCACACAGTGGGGTGGGTACAGAAGAGGAATTACAGAAGAGGAATTCTAAGTTTAGGGCACCTGAATCTTTTTAAATGAGCCGTAACCCTATCAGGACTTTGCCCCGGAGGGAGACACTATCTTTGTCTTCCAAGGCTGTTCGCTACATAAACGTCATTGAAATGATAACCTGCATTAAAGTCATTCAGTGCCTTTATGTGCAGAAAGGGAAAGACCCATGGAGAAGTCTCTTAACAAGAAGATGGGAAGAAAGCACCATTATTAAATGAGCAGTAGTAAATAGGTTTATAGGATTATAAAAGTACAAATGGAGATTTCCCCAGCATTTTCTGACTGTTTTCCTATTGGTTTGCCCACTTTGAAGCTGAAGGTAGCTGAGGAAATATGAAACAGTTTCTTGAAATGCCTCGCTTCACGATTTCTTGAATCCAGTAGATCTTGGCTACCTCCTTCAATACAGATTTTCAGATTGTTTTGTAAGGTTCTGATTCCCTCCGTTAAATCCCTTCCTGGTTATCATAATTAGTGTGTTTTCTGTTTTTCTGACCAAACCCCATCTGATACAATGTATGACATAAGAACATGAATCCAGGAAACAGACTTTCACAGGTGGGAATCTGGGATTGGTCATTGGAAGGCATATGACTTCATCATAAGTAAAAAATAGAATACTGGTAGTCCAAAAGGGGTAAAATAGGCTAATAGGAAATAAAGTGTCAATTGATGTCAAGTTCATGGCACAATCAGCGAAGCAAAATCTTTCTGTGATTGCTCATAAAAAATATGTATTTTTTTAGTAACTTATAGAATCAGAGCTATAAAATGCAGAACCAGAAATAAGATTTAATTTTGTGAGTCACAGATTTATAAGGCAAATGGAATTCTTAGCAATATTTGCCTCTCATGTAAAAGTTGGGGTATTAATTAGAATAAAGTAGAAGTCTAAGAATTGGAATAGAGACTTTTCAATGGATTTCAATGAATCTGAGAGATTTAAACTACTTCCTCTGATCCTTACTTTCGATCAGAAGTAGCCCATCTTCCCCTGTCTGAAGACACTAGCCTCACTTTGCCTGATGATTTTAAATTGCCTTAATGAAGGATCCCCTTGTAAGGCAATGCCAATTCTGTTCAAGACCCACCCCCACCACCTACAATTGCTTCTAGATCTGTAATTGGAGGCTGAGCACAGGATGTTGGGGATGATTACAAAGTCTAATCCAGGAGGAAATGGCACACCAGCTGAAACAAAAGCAATATTTTCCAAATTTACATTCATAGAAACCAGAAAGGAATGTTGGAACATTGATAAAAATACTTTTAAGGGTTTTACAACAGGACAAAACAAAAAAAATACAAATGCAAATATATATATATAATTGGTGGTCTTACCAGACATTCTGCAGTATGTGTGCTACTGCAAGCAGAAAGGAGTGACTCCTACAGTATAGCCAGTCTGTTGACTTAAATCTGAACATATCAATCGCCTAAATTAAGTAAGTATGAGGTATTAGGACTTCCTTAGTATAGTGTAGAGTAGACTAATGACTCTAAAAGATTATGGAAATAAAAATGTTGGAGAGCAACAATCGTGGGAAACTTTCACAAATTTGTCCTTACTGTACCCTGAGGAGAGTGTAGAGAATACTTCTTTCACCAAAGCTTTGAGCAATGCTGATGAAGGTAACACCAGGATCTTTGGAAGGCATGGTGGTAGCTGTTCTCTGCAGGCTGGGGAAGACTGTGCAAAATAGTGCCACTGAAATGCACTCCCTGGGTTTGAAGGGGAAGGGGTCTCAAAATAGCAGAAGCCAGGGGCAGCAATAAACTCCCAGAGACAAGGAAGTGCAATTACTATAAAGGGCAGAGGGTGGAACACAGTAGCTTGACTGAGAGTCTTGGTCTTGATAGTTCATCAGGCTACTAAATTTTACTTGATTTGTATAATATACTAGAGGCCCGGTGCACAAAAATTTGTGCACTCGGGAGGGAAGGCGGGGGGTCCCTCAGCCCGGCCTGTGCCCTCTCGCAGTCTGGGACCCCTCAGGAGATAAGGACCTCCTGGCTTAGGCCTGCTCCTGTACTAAATTTTACTTGATTATTATTATATATGCTTGATCTGAATGCCTAATAAAAGCTCTAAGTTTCATGATCAGAGATCTGAATTGAGTCCCTACAATGAGGAGTCATAACTCACTCAAATCTCCAATTTGATCGAATTCACAGATCCAGAACCTTTGAATAAAGAGAAGGCAGTTTCCCTTGAGGAATATCCAACAAAATTGCCACAAGTGTGCACTGTTAACACTCCTTTCAGTCTTCCATAAAGTGACTGAGGCCATTTGCCAGGGCAACCATATACTGAATAATGGGAATGGCCCAAGTTTCTAAAAAGAAATGTTGGATTTTGGTCCTGAACTGACACTAATATGTAAGGCTTCAAAATGCCACAGAGTTTGGTTTTATGGTGATTAGACAATAAAAAGAATGTTGGCCAATGTCCTTCTGACACCTTGTGATTGTTCTTCCAGTTCCTGTATGCATAGCTGGAATAGACATAGTCAGCTATCGGCAGAGTTCCTGCATTGGCTTTCGGACCTATAGAATGGGAGCATCAGAGCAGGATGGGAAAATCCGAAGCTGAGAAAGTGCTCCTCTCTACCAAAACAGTAAATGAAAATCAAATAGTGGAATTGCAGAGATTTTTAGCTCCATCAAATACTTGAAAGATGCAGGATAATTATTTTATAAAAAAAATTATATTCTCATTTAGAAAATATATGGATCTTGTAGAAAATAAGTTGAATGTCATGAAATTAATCACATGGCAACTCTAATTTTAGCTGCTGTTCCAGATGTAAATGAACTCAGCCCTAATTACCCAGTTTACAGCTACAGTATTTAGCAGTACATTTTCATCATCTTACCTCAGAGCTGTATCAACTCTTTTGCTCTCTGTCATAATAGTATATCAGGGTAAATGAACTCAGCCCTAAGTACCCAGTTTACAGCTACAGAATCAGCAGTACATTTTCAGAGCTGTATCAACTCTTTTGCTCTCTGTCATAATAGATTCTATAGGGGACCATCACACAAGATATTATATTTGCCCACTGTACTGATGACATCATGCCAATTGACTTATTAAGACTCCTGTGTACCAGAGGATGAAGAAAATTCTCATGGAAATTCAGGGACCTTGGTAGATTTTCTAGAGGTCCAATGAGATGGATTGGGTATGTCAAGATGTCCCATCCAGAATGAAAAAATGTTACTGTTCCTTATACTACCACAAGAAAGAGCCACACTTCTTGGTGGGACTCTTGATTTTAGAAGCAACACATACCACACTTCAGGAACCTAAAATCCACTTAACAAGTAACACCTGAAGCTGCTGGTTATGAATGGAGTCCTAAAGAAGAGGAAGTGTTGTCATAGGTTTGGACCAAAGTGCACGCTGCTTTGCCATTTAGAATTTATGAACCAGCACATTCAATCAGTGCTCAAGACGTCTGTGGAAGGCAGGTTTGCTTTTTAACACTTTGGGCAAGACCTGATAAATGTGTGATAGTATGTATCACTAGGGTGTTGTTTTGTTAAAGAAGTACTACCCTTCACAGTTAACTTTCTCCTTTTTGTCTGTGGAAGGCACGTTTGCTTTATAACACTTTGGGCAAGACCTGATAAGTGTGTGATAGCATGTATCACTAGGGTGGTGTTGTTGTTTTTTAAAAGAAGTACTACCCTTCACAGTTAACTTTCTCCTTTTAAGAAATAGTCCCTGGCTTGCTTTTCAGCCCCGAGAGTGATAGAATGACTCACTACAGGATATAAGATGACCATGCTACCCAAGTTTCCCATCACAATTTGGATGTTATGTTATCCCAGCCATAAAGATGAGCATGCCCAGCATCACTCTATCATCGAGAAGAAGTGATACATATGAAATCATGTTGAAACAGGTCATGAAAACAGAAGAAAGTTGCATGAGCAGGTGACTCAGGCTTCAAACGCATCTACTTCTGCTTCATGGTCACTTTTCCTTTGACTCCAACATATGGAATCCTGGGCAGCAGTTTTTTGTTACCAGTTTCTGAAGCAGTAAAAAAATAAAATCAGGTTTGGTTTAGAGCTAGTTCTGGATGATACAGACAGCTGCTAGTTTGAAGTGAACTGCAAGTTTATTACAGCCCCATTTAGGGGTATCATAGAAAGATGGTGAGGAAAAAGGCCTCCTCAGTGGATAGACCTTTAAGAAATACACAATAACTTTACCTGGAAGGGACAATGGCCAGAGGTTCAGATGAATACCAGTTCATGAACCAAGACTCATGAATAACCTGGATAATTACAGGCTTAAGTGGAATAAGATAGGAGGCTTGATGGTTCAGAAGGTTAGGCAAAGTATATGTGAACGCTCATGAAAGCATTCCAGAGAATGCCCTCAGCAATATTTGAATACACCCCACTCTGTGGAAATCAGTTTGCCTGTTTTCTTAGTCAGTGCTTGGTCATTGGACTCGTGCACAAAACCAGCAGAATAAGGATGAAGTCTAAACAACATGAGTTTTTTCTCCCCGAAGCTCATATGGCAAATACCACTGCCGTATGGTTAACCAACCAACAGCACAGACCAAATTGGAGCCCCCAATATAGCATCATTTCCTAGTGGGACTAGTGAGCCACTCAGTGACAGAATGATTACATTGGACCCCGGCCATCCTGGAAGGAGAAAGATTGTTCCCTTTAGAAAATATACTTAATTTGGCTATGAATGA